TGGATGCTTATCACTAAAATTCTTAAAAAAAAATATTTCAAATATTAAACAGGTTGTAGCTTTGTATGATCTGGTTAAATGTTCGCTCAATTTTACAAGCAAACGTGCATATTTTGAAGAAATGTAGCTGGAGCACAGCATTTAATATTCTCTACTAAGGTTTGAGTAGTCCTGTACTAGTGAATATAAACCTTTGAGTTGCGTATTGCCTAACGATATTGAACTTCAATACAACTTTATATCATCACGAAATATCGATATTTTACCATATATCGTAATATTGCTCGAAGTTATCATACTTACATTATTTTTAAATTGGTCAATATTTTCGTTATTCTAAGGAGATCGATCAACACTTACGATTCTTATTCTATTAATACGTCATATGTATAATTATAGTATCGTAGATAATATCATATTCAATAATAGTTGTCGATAATATTCTTAATAGTATAATAGTCGATATTTATCGTTGGTAATAATGTTAACAATGTTATCGTATTCTGTAATTATCATATAATATGTATATATCGGGAGAGAGGGTAGGTATTTAAGATATATAATAAGATAACATTTAAAAATATCTTTATCATAATGCATAATAAGTATCGATTCATCACGTGGCTCTAAACGTAACTTTTCCATTTTAGAAACTTTAAAATAATCTTACTTAATCACTTTTCTGTTAATTTTAAAAATATTTCTTCTTATTAAGTACATGAAATGACCAGATTAGAGATTCAATGCACTATAACTTATTGAATCATTAAAAATATATATATATATATTTTGCATTAAAATGTAAAAATTTAAAATGGTTCTTCAAAGTCACTTATCAGGTGTAAAGAGGAGCCATGATAGAATATTTTTGTAAACAATTAAAAGAGCTCAGGAGACTCACAGAAAATTCGATTTCAATACGCAGAATTCCCCTTTTTATATATAAAATAATTGCTACTAGTATGCAAAACAATCACAGTTACATAGATTTTTTTTCAGATAAATATTATAAATACATACATGAATTTATTTAAAAAAGGCAACAAAAAAAATTGTGTCATAGCATGCTTTATATACTAAATTCGTATTTAACATTCCTAGTATTTAACTTAATCTTTATAGAAAACCTATTCAGTTTTTAAATCTAAAATCTCTATTTGTATTTGTGCATTGTATGTGATATTTATTTCGGAAGTTAATGTACATGAGTGAAGCTTGAAATGTTAGAAAGATTTGTTTTATCAACGAATAAAAATTTTCAAACAGCATGCTGCCGTTTATTTTTTCGCTTTTCAAGAGTACTAGCTGATTCTGATAGGATTCCTATTGTTACATGCAGAACTTCTCGCTATATGAATCCTTCACACTGTATAGTAAGAATCACTTTCGAATCTGTTAACTCTTTAAAATATAGTTATAAGAGTAAATATTGCAATAGGGGAACATTAGCTCTTGATAAATATATTTAAAAAATTCTACAAAAGAGCAATATCCTAAAAAAAATCTGCAAAAAAGCAATATCTAAACAGCCCATCCATTTCAGAGCGCACTAAGTAATATCCTATGCCAAAAGGCACCTAGAATCATTCAGTGGCTCTGCCCAAAAAAGTAGATTATCCGGAGAAAAAAAAAATCAACGAAACATTGCACATAGATGCCTCTCATTCAAATTAAAAACCAATGTCTTTATCTGATATCTTGTTCCATACATAATGATTACATTTAATAAATAAATAAAATTATTTAATTTAAAGTTCTAATTGTCTCCTCTTATTGGGGCACCATATAAATGCTAGAATTGAAGGAATATTTTTCGAGGGTGGAGTCGGAAATAAAATAGGCTGGATATTTGAGAAGGCAGATGAAGAAAAATATCTTGACCATAAGCATACAAGGAAGTCATACAAAAATAGGAGTGAAAGAAGTAAGGAAAAGTTAGATCTCGTTGAAAGGCTCTCGAATAGATTGAAATTTTATTTGGATCAATGCCATATTTTTTGTTATGTAACAAGACGTAATCTGAAGCAGTGTACAACCTCAAGATAAATATTTTTCAAATTATTATTATTATTCTTTTTCTGTTTGCCCTTCGAATTATTTGAGGTGTCCTTAATTTTTAATATCCCTTTAGTTATTGAGCAGTTCATGGCGGAATAATTTCAGTTGACCAAAATAAATGATGTAAAAAGCATACAAATGTTGTGTAATATACTAATTACGAAAAGAAAAATTAACACAGCTGTAAGTAAAATCGTAGTTTTTCTATTTCACAAAACAAAATGTTTCGGGTTTTATTAAGAAATTTCATACTAACGGATACATGGCACAGAATAACAATTGATTCAATTTAGATAAGTAGAATAATTTACGAATTACAACATGCAGAGTTTGAGTAATTTAAACTATCTCATTAACAAATTAGTTAAAATTAAAAATAAATAACTGAAAACAATATAAATCAAAACACTTACTTATTATTAAATTTTTTCTATCACTTAGATATATAGATCCAACTTCAAGAATAAATCTATCCTTAGAAGTAATGATTGGTAATTCGAATTTAATATAATAGATAAAATCCAAAAACAATTGGCTCAGTCTAACAAAAAGAAAAGAACTCATTCCTTTCTCTATCAAAAGCCAAATTCTAACTGAAATGCTAACACAAAATCTAAGAATAATAAGCGTTGAGGAAAAAAATCGTCTGCTACTTAATAAATTAAGAATTATCGTTTGCTGAAAAATAGTTGTTTGTTGCATTATAAAATCTTTTGCAGTGCATTCATTCTTGCAATAGACTTAGCCCAGCAATGCACTTTGCACCAAAAAGAAAAGTCCTTATCCCCTTATTGTTTGTCTAGAAATAAGTTGGTCTGAAATTGTTCTTGTGAATAAATTTTTTGACATTAAAATATTCTTCGATTTGTCTACTTTTTTTTACATGATCGCAAATCGTAACGTTCTAAAAAAACAAACAAATAAAATAGAATACAAAATGCATGCAAATTTTTTTTCCCTGCAAGTTTTATTGTCTTCTGTTTTTGGAAGGAGCGTTAAAACTCAAGATCTTGTGTCTTAAGGAAGACTAGTAAATTTACATTAAGCATTATATCCTGTCTCAGTGGCATTATGGCTTATTTTGTGTTGGTTTATTCCGATTTTAATAAGGACAAAAATATTTGCTGTCGACATTTAGCACAACACGCGTCGCTGGCGTCCAATTTTCGACAGGGACTAAATTAAAATACGCAAGCACAGTAGTTTCTTGAATTTCACACATAAAAAAATTATATTTAAATTCGTAAAAAGAATAATCTCTTCCCTGATTTTAACTTTAATCAGTATAAAATTCATGAAATTTTTTTGACATATTGTAGTCCCTTACGCTGCAGCATTTGGAAATGACTTCATATTAATGGACGACGATTGCAGGTCACATCGGACTAACTAAGGTGAATATCCTTTTGAAGAAAGGAATCATACGAACGGATTGGTCAGCGTGTTCGCCGAACATGAGCCCTATTACGCAGGCTATGGACATCCTGGACGGACAAATTGCTGGATGCTTATCACCCCCACAAACTCACCAAGAACTAGAAAGGGCAATTTTGAAGGAGTGTAGAGAATACTCCAGCCCCTCATTAATAACGTAATTGACTTGATGCCTCAGAGGTGTTCAACGTTGCTAGCCATCAGGGGAGGGGGATGGGGTTATGCTACCAAAAACGATTTTCTTTTAAGGAAACATTTTTTCTTATGCACCCAAATACCAAATACAACATATTTAGTTCTGCCAAACAAACATTTTTATCTCATACAGCCGACTACGTATATCGATAATTATCTATCATTCAAACGAATCTCCAGATGCAAGATCAACCCACAACATCAATATCCTTTGTTTTGAGCAGTGTAAAACAATTTATTCAACTTCAATATAATGTAGTCCCTAATAAGTATGTGACAACCCAATCATCAGATCAAAAGTCATGTTCCTTATTTTTTTTATTTGCACACTGTAGATATAAGACGCTCAAATCTCTGGTCAGACATGTAGCAACATTTAAAGATTGTTGGAAGAACCTTCACGTCCATAAAAGTTGATTCAGAAAAAAAACTTTTTTCTGTGTAGTAACTGTTCTTCCACAGCCCATCTTCAGTGTGTTAGACTCTCTGCCTTTTTTGGAAGAGCAGATTTTTCATGTTATTGATTTATCAAAACTTAGTATTCCTCAAAGAGGAAGTTTAATAATAGTGTAACAATCCTTCACCCCTTGTTCCTAGTTTATTTAGTAGTAAGTAGTTAGCATAATTGTACAAGAAATACTGCTTTCTTAAAAAACAAGGCAAATATTTTTGATTGGGCAATATTATGTATTTAATGTTAAGCAAACTTTTTGCTAAAAATTTTCAAAAATTACTAAAATTTCTACAAATATAATCGTCAAACTGAGATGAAAAATAAACAAATTATTGATATAAATTGAAGCTAAATTGAAGAATTTTGAACTGTTTTTTTTTTGAAAAATTAAATTTCTTATTTTGTAGATCTAATTGAGTGACGACCTTTCATTTTAAATATGTTTTAAAAGAAAAAATATCCAATAATAGTTTATTCTGAAAGTTAAATTAAGACCAAAGCATAATTAGAATTTTCCACCTATAACTACTCCTCTTTGACTGTTGCAGTTAGCCTGAGGAAAGAGGCCTCTTAGAGTAGTGAATTTATGTCTCAATAACATGTTCTTTATTTATTGAAATTTTAAAAAATTATGATGGTTTATGAATGGATGGACATAAGTAAAATTTTATATCATCACAACACAATAATCTCGAAATATTTTATTTGCCTGAATGATTTAAAATTACATAAACATGAGTTACAAAAAATGAATATAAAAAAAAACGGAACTTAAATCTTTTAAATGTACACATACATATTAAAATTTACACATTCATTACATGTATCATTTTAAATACAATTTATTAATTTCTTATTTTATTTATGTAACAAAATTGTAATTTAGGTAGCTGCTCTAACGGAAAAAATTATGCTCATAGATAATTAAGAGCCATTAAAAAAAAAGAATCTTTCTCCATACAACCTTTTAAAATATAATGGAATGAATATTACAGCTTCATAAGTGTTAATATTTTCTTTTTCTATAAAAAAATAATTTTTTTTCGACAAAGGTAGTACCATTTAATTAACATGATTAAGACTCTAGACATGAACTTAGTTGTGATTACAGATGTTTCATATGCAAATTACAATCAAATTTAAAATACAGAACACTACTGAATTGAAAAATAAACATTTTAATTCCACATTTCTATCACATTTAAAATTTCGAATGTATGGAAATAACAAAGAAATAATCCTAATAATAAATACCATAAATTTTTAGAGTTTAAGAACTAAAATGTGTTATATTTTCAGCTAGCTTTAGAAACAAAGCATATAACAAGGAAATGATATAGGCATCATCTATATAAAATAATGCAATTATTTGTAGATGGCCTGCCACATACAGATCCTACGCCAGAAAAAAAAGCAACCTGGAATTGGCTAAAGATACAGAGCTTAATATCCTGTTTGATAGGGCAGAGCAGGACGGGGGTATCCAGAAGTAGGACCTCGAGAATAAGGATTTCCAGAGGCAGGTCCAGTGCTTGTTGGTGGCATGGGTCCACCAGTTGGTCCAGGAGAATAACCAGCAGGATATTGCATTTGTCCTTGATAGGCTTGAGAAGTAGGGGGTCCTCCAGCATAGGAACTGGGACCACCAGCCTGACTTGGAGCTGGAGCACCAGTAGGAGGTCCAGCATATGGGCTACTACGTCTGTAAGACAAGAAAAAAAGAATTGCTGTAGTAAAGTAAACAACAAAGTCCAAGAGGTAATGCTATAAAATATCGGTTATTTTAAGATTTTACGTTTATAACTCACAGTAATGTTACCAACATTATGCATTCAAATCAGTTTTCTAATAATTCATTATAATTTCAAAATCTAAACGAAGATATCTACTTTAATAATAAATATTTATAGAAAAACAATCCAGTCTTTTAAAAAAGAGCTAAAGAAAATGTCACAAAATGTCTGCCAAATAATTTTTTTTCTTTATAAATTTAGAAAATATAATCTGAAGTTAAAAGCAAAACAGGAATACAAATTATAAGAAATAAAAAAAAATTTATTCACTTCCAATCAAGCAGTATTTTGTCGTATTAAAATTAATTTAACATGATATATTGCCACTTTTTTTCAAGTAATATTGCGTTCAATTATTTTTGAGACAGAGATTTACTTTCAAAAACAAATTTAGTTTATTACTTTAAATAATTTTGATTTATAAAACTTTTTTATTATTAGGAAGGATTTTCAAAATTTTACCCAATGTAAGAAATTAGCCATAAACTTGTATTTCTGTCCTTAGAGATTACCAAATTTATAAATTCTGTCTTTATAAGTATAAATAAATAAACAATGAGAAATGACGAAATAAATGAAGGCATAATGCACAAAAGATAACTCCCTAAAATTAGCCCCTTCTTGATGGTGGGCTAACCTTTGTTACCTGCATTTATGCAAACAAAATCTAATTCTTCATTTTCTGAAGTTATAAAAATTGTGCAGCCATGTGATACATGGCTGCACAAACCATGGGAGGGAAAATAGCTTACCATTGATACTTAAAAATGAATAAAGTTGGTGGGAAGTATACTTCCTATGACCATACAAAGGGTAAAATAACTAAATAAATTTGTAACTATTAAAGTGAAAAATTCAACAAGTAAAAAATTACAATTGTTGAGTCATTTGCTGCTGCTGCTGTTGTTGTTGCTGCTGCTGTTGCTGAGATTGAGAAGGCTGCTGTTGAGCAAATTGAGCCTGTTGCATCTGTGGGCTTTGTTGATAATTGCCATAACTTTGACCTGGTTGAGAACCATATCCAGCACCAGGTGTGGGAACAAATCCACCAGTAACACTAGAAGCAGGCGACTGAGGTTGCTGATGAGGTCCTAAAAGAAATATTAAATTGTTTTTTTATTTTTATTGCATTGAATCAATTTTTAATGAATAAGATGTAACAAATTTTCCTTTGAAATGTCTGCAGAAAAAAATAACATATGCACTCTATTCTAAAACAGAATTAAGGAATTACACGCAGATATACAAGGTGTTTAAAAAAACTGACCTATGAATTCAGAGGGATAATAAAAGGCATTAAAAGAAATCTAAAAATCTAAAAGTGGTCAGTTAAGAGTTTGCTATATAGATTTTTACCAATTTTTACCCTTTTTTTACTATCCTAAAGTTAAATTTGCCAATCAAAGACTTTACATCTGCTAATCAAATTTTGTAACACACCTTGTGAACATATAATATTTTTAATACATAAAAATCATCATATCTGAAAAATTAAAGAAATCTTAAGAGCATTTTATGAACACTGCTGTAGAATGTTTTAATATAGCTGCAACATTTAAAAAGAGGAATTGGAAAGATTAAATTAACAAATATTTTCTTTTTTTTCAAAAGAAACCCTACTTCACATTTTTTTTTTATAAAATAGAATTTTTATTTTGAAAATATGTCTTTATTAAATATTTGTAACATCCAATCAAATGGTAAAACACTTATAAAATTGTTCAACTCAATTTCATATTGAAAATATACCATTTTTAATGTAAAAATTCAAATTCTCTTTTTAAAAAGAACTTAAATTTCAGTAAAAAATTTACTTCAAATGAGTACTTTAAAACATATTTCCTTTTTAAAAACAATATCATATAAATTAGAAATAAAGTAAAACTTATTTTAAACGTCTTTTCTTTAAAATGTTCAAATTTTTGGTAAAAATTAGAAGATCAAATATAGGGAATTTAGGAGAAAGCAAAATTGAAAGAATTTGCACATATGCTATTGTAAGAACTGCAATATTCTCTAAAGAAACGACAAATTTTTTTTTACATAATTTATTTCTATTTTAACAAGATTAATAATTATATAATTAGTAGATAAATATGTCTAAAAATTAGTCTATTAAATTAGAATGCATAACTATGTTCTTGACATCACTTATCATTAGTGGACAAATGATTAAAATTGAAATTTGCCAAAAACTTGCAATTTCTGGTGTGGAATGCTTTAAGAAGGCATCATTCGTTACATAACATTCCCAAATAAATGACAAAAATGTATTGAAGATGAAGAATGAAAACTATCTTACCACTTCCAGTAGGACCTTGAAAATAGTGATGTGGTGATGGGCCATGTTGTGGGTTTTGTGAAGGTACGTATACAGGTTGAGGTTGGTTTTGGTACATGCTTGTTGGAGGAGGTACACCCTGTTGCATTTGTTGTTGCTGTTGTGGTTGCTTTTGACTTGCTGATGAACCTAAACTAGATATACTATCAGGAGAGCCAGCTCGAGCATCTGAAACAAACAAATAATTTAATACAAATAATGCACTAATGGAAAATCATTTGCGTGTCGAATAAACTGAACTTGAATTTAACTTTTAAGGAGATCATATAAAATAAATGCTTTGAATTTTAATTATTCGTAATCATTAGCATATTCTTTCCCATTTCAAAGTGTTTAGCTAGAATTTTAATAATAGATTAGAGCTTTGACTATATGAACCTCTTTAATCTAAATATCCTTATTAATCAAAGAAGATTCCAAAGTATTTAACTATTTTTTTTGCACTTGCACACATTTTTTCTTCCTTTTATCAATTTCAATTACATACTATATCTTAATTCAGCTACACAAGGCCTTCAAAATAATAATCAATCATTTTATGTGAACAAATAAAGGTTTTGTTTGTTAGAGAGGTTGGTTGCTTCGGTTTTTCTACAAAAAATTATAATCTAAAAACTGAAATTTATATTATTTAATCCATTCTTACCCATGACTTACAGTGTAATTTAAATAGGCTTTTACAGATAAGAGAAAGAAAACTATGTAATCTGTGCAAGAAAAATATATCATAGTGCAAATGGAATCTGAAAAAATGCCTCTAAATTTGCAAAAAGAATATAAAGCAAGGAAAACTTTTTTTCAGATAAACAGATTTTAGAAACATTTGAAATGAATGTCGAAATACCTTTTTATTTTGATTATCAGATGCAAGTACAGCCCTAATTATTTCAGATAATAAAGATTCAACTGCATATATTTTCAGATCAATATTAAATACTCAGTTTAATATATTACAAATATATATAGTAGTTTTCTCAACTATTTAATACAAAAAAATAAAAACAAAGTTCATTAAATTTTCACACATCTTTTCCTAAAAGTACTTTGGATACCACATTTTCAACATTTACTATAACTAAAATGTTTAATAATTTAAAACCGTACAACTCACAAAAAAAATAGTTAAAATAGGATAAGAAACACAAATTGATTACATGTAACAATATGACCAAGTGATTTTCTTCAATACAGATTTTATTAGAGTAATAAAAGCAAGAAAACAAATTCGATGTGCAAAATTTGGATTTTTCAAGCATTTTTCTACTTAAAATTAGATTTTGCTAAAATAAAAAACTAATATTTTTCTTACATAGTAATTAGTGTTCTGAAAGTAATATATAAATATTTTAATAAAATATTGTGTGCAGATGGAAATTTGATGCATTATCTTAGATCATATTTTTTTATTGTTCTTTAATAAAACAATTTGATTAACAGCTTATTCAATATCCATTTCAATCAAGCTGAAATATTAAAAAAGAATGTACTAACTTCAATCCAGCAAAATTTTAATTTAATACTCATGCATAAACACTATATGCATTCTACACTGTCTAAAACAGATAATAACTATAAAGAAAACCAATTGAATAAATTCAGGTGGTGATAGTTTCAACAACTTAATAACTATTTAGATATCACTTTAGGAAGGCAAAAGAAATTGACTGAATGTAGAGTTTAAATGCACAAAAGCTACAGAAGGATATACTGCACCACACATATTCAACATTACACTCCTAAAAAGTTGGTTAAACGGTTGTTATAAGATAATTGACAGAAATGGTTAAAAAAAAAGTAACCAGGTTCACAGGATCAGTGTTAATAAGGCAAACTCTTTGAGGAGTAAGAATACAAAAGATACAGACAAAAATAATTTGAGAAAAGGATAAGTTGGAGACTGCCATTAACAATTTCAAATTGTGCACTTAATGGGCTTGGAGCATTGTAGTAATAAACCACAATTTTTACAAAGGTGACATTCAGAGATTCTGACATTCAGTGTTCTTTAGATAATAGCATAATACAAAGAATCATGTTATTCTCAGAATGGAAAGTGTGTATCATCTAAAAATGTTTTCCTGTAAACTTCGAAAATTGAACTTTTTTGGCTGAAAGCCCTTCATTTTTTATATCTTCAGGTAACAGAAATCAATTTATTTAACTCTAAAGCTAAGTATTGGGTTTTTAACAGACCTGTTTCACAAATTGACCGGCTTGCATACTTTAAAGTTAAAATTATAAGCTTTAACTTATTCTTTCAGATTTTTATTGTTAATTTGAATGTTGATACACACCTTCCTAGTCATTAAAATTCTTAAAGATGATTTCTTTTGAAAACATTTTCTAATAGTTATAATAATGTACTTTTTTTTTTATTCAGAAGACCATGATTCATCATAAAATATATACTCATTTAGATACATAGAGTACTAAATAGCATTAAAAACTTTTAAAAAAATGCCAGAAAAGTTTGACATTAAAGAAATATTTTATTTCTTATCTTAATATTTATTTTAAGATTCTGAATTTTTTCTTCTTCTATAATTACAATAGTCGCTGCATGACGCATTTTGAGCATTATTTAAATTATTTAGTTTAATTTCATACTCAAATATTACAAAAAACTTATGTTAACATGAATGTGAGAGCTGAAGGTAAAATTAAAATAACATTTAAAACACATTTTTTAAAACTATGTTCCCAGAAGTTGCACATTTATTAACTTAAGATTTTTAATTATGAATTTCTTACAAATTCCTTCTTCAACTAAATAATATGCTTCATACAGAAATGTCTATTAAATTTTCATTTATATTCTAAAACAATTTCTTGCATCATGTTTGAAAAAAAAAAGTTTTCTTCTTTCAAGAATCAGAAATATTAAGAACAAAATGTTTTTACTGCAGAACTTTAAATACAATTTAGGAATTAAGTTTTATATAAATTATTTATATTACTTGTATAGGTCATTCTAACAAATAATTCAAAATAAGTTCAGCTGATCTAAACTGTCGAAAAACGAATTTTTTTATAGAGAAGAAAAGTATAGAAATTAAAGTAAACTTCAGATCAACCACGTTTTAATGTCCTAAAACAATTTTATTTGAAATTTGACATACTAACTTAAAAAAATGGCAAGATATTGCATTTTATTAAATAAAATATAAAAGTCCTAAAAGCATATTAGTCTTCAAATATGAAAATATATAAGAACTCGACAAATTTAAAACATCAAGCTACCAGAGAAATGTAAAGAACTTTAAAAAAAATTAAAAAAATCACCCAATACATAAATTTTTTAAATAAACTTTTCTATTAAATTTTGCATCTATTTTATTGCTTTAAAGTTTATTATGCTAAGACAACTTCAAAACCAAAATAATCATTGTTTCTTTCACACATTTCTCACTTCAAAAGGGTTGCTGACTGTACACTTAGTATAATGGAATGGTTGAAACGTTTTCTTGGCTATCAAGTACACGATTAGGCAGTTTTGAAGCAAGTTAGAATAAAAAAAATCAAGGACTTAACATTTCTTCACTTTTTACTACTCAAAGATATAATTTAAGCACACACATAAAAAAAAAATTGCTGTTTTAGCTGTGTTATTACGAACATTCAGTACAAGATAACAATCATACTTGCTCAGGTGGGTTTTAATAAACCAAGCAAAATTGAAATATGTGTTTTTTTTTAAAATAGATTAAACTTTTTAAATTTCTCAAGTAATTATTGGTCACTTATTTTCTTCTATAAGAAGTTTTTCGTTTCTTTACTTTCTTTATAAGTAAATGTAACAAAAATAGTTTTAAGAATAACAGATATTTATTTCTAAGTTTTAAAATTCAATGCAAAAGCACTGTCTAAGCAACACACAACTTAATTTACTAATTCATAATACAGATTTAAAAAGAATATTTAAAATTTTCTTATTTTATTTTGGAATTTAAGATAGTCCCCAAAAGTGATCAAAAGAAAACAATGCATAAAGTTAAAACCTAAAATCTAACAAGAATTAAACCTGCTTAAAAAAAAACATTTATATAACATAGATACCTACATAAACGAATCACTAAAGTAAAGATAAAGAAATTATGATTTAAATCCTAGATTTCAATTATAGTGAATTTTAATATAAGAAAATATCTAGATATATGCCTCTTTCTATATATATACATAGTAATTTGTTTCAGATTGTTAATTGTATCACACGTAGCATAATAACAGTAAAAAATACTAACAAAAGTGTAGAGTTATAAATTTGAGAGTTTTTACTTTTTGGTTTCAAATTTCCTTTTACTTCTCCATAGCAGTTTAGGAAGCCCAACCAAAGGATGAATTATCACTTAAGAAAATCTAACCAAGCACCTTAAATTACTTATATGAATTAAAACATTAATATGTACACACCCATCAATATTTTTTGACTGGCAGCCAGAAGAAAAAAATTTGTCAAGCCTTGAACAATGAATTAGAGATATAACATGCACAATTCGAAACTTACCATGCAAAATATATTCTTTCCAATTTAGAAGCATCTGCTTAATAACATCAAAAACTGAAAACCAAATGGCATCTTATAAAACCCCAGAAAAAAGTTAAACTAATTTTTTTCTAAGTGAAAAGCAACTAAGATTATTATGCAACAGCTACTTCAAACGGTGAACCCAATATTAAAACTGGACTTAAAATATATAATTTATTAATAAGTAATTCAAATAGTTTCAATTGACTAATCTTATCACTGTAATAGTATAAGCTAGTTAAACTGTGGATTTTTATTTCAAATATATATATAATATTTGAATTTAGTAACTTCAAATTTTTTCCCATTGATATAGTTTGTATAACTACCACTTTTAAAAAAGGTAAAATTTTAAATATGAAAGTAAAAATTGATTCTCATCTGTAGTAAGTAATAAATTTTTAATGGTAATTGAATACGAAAATAGAGAGTATTTATTTTCTATTAACACTCCTTTATATTTCTTTGAATTTATTTTAAAATATTTTTGAGCTTTTGTGCAACCATTAGAAAGCAGTAAACAATCTATAAGCTTTCTTAATACTTGTAGATGAATTTATAAGAAAAAGGTTGAGGATAATAATAGATCTAGATCAAGTGGCGCATATATCTTGCCAACTGTGCGAACTATTTCTATTTTGTAAATAAAGTATGTTTTAGATTTGTAAAGTATGTTAAAGCATAACTGATAAATTGAAGTTCCTATAGGCAGCTTTTTTTAAAGTGAATATTTTCAATGCACATTGCAAGTATATTTGGCAGCATTCTTAGAATATTTATTGTATATACTCAATTAAGTAACATCTTATGTAAAAAAGAAAATATTTAACAATGTTTTAACCATAACCTATTCAAGTTCATTTTTCTATATCCCAGGTTTCACATTATTTAACAAAAACTAAACCAATAGGAAATTCCATACATACTATAATATATAAAACCATAATTTAAACTGTATGCATTACCTACATTAATGTTAATGTAAAAACTACAGCCAGATTAAACATGAGCATGCAAAGATTAAAAATAATGTTAACACAGCAGTATTACAAACTTCATAAACAAAATTTTATTTCAACAAAAATAAAAGCAAATCTATTTGCTGTAACAAATCAAGGTACAGTTAGTTGTTAGTATAATGGTATCTATTTTGAGAAAAATAATGCATTCTTGCCTTCTTGCAAGCCGAAAGAAGTAGCAACTTTATTTCTACTGCCTTCACCACCTTCTTTAGATGACAAAGGATCAAACTCTTTAGGAGCAGCTGCATTGGGAGTACTGTTTGATTGAGACACTATAGCACCTAAGGAAGAAAGAAAAGTCAAAAAATACCACTGAGTATTACGAGATTACTACTAAAAAGTAAAAAACATAACTAATACCACAAAAATAGAAAAACATGCATCCGTAACTAAATAAAATATTTACCAATTTTCAATACAAATCTTGATATATCTCAGGTATAACATACTTTTGTTTTCAAATCATAAATAAAGAAAACGTACGATCCGACTCCTCAAAACTTCAAGAATAAAAAGTACAATTGTCCTAAGATGACGTCATATTCAAAATAAATAAAGCTAAGCATAAAAATACAAGCACAAATAGAATCAGCAATAATGAAACAACTAAAATCTTTTTCTTAGCTGTGAATTTCACTTCTCATTAAAAGATTTTCACAAAAATTTAAGCTCTAACAAAAAATTTCAGAAATTAAATTAAGTAGACAGAAAAGGTATGATTAATAATTTTAAAAAGAAAAATATTTTCAGACATAAGACCATATTTGTATCAAACCTTCAAATGAGATAAGAACAATAACAGCAAATGAGTGAGGCAATGTATTAGATAAATTTTATAACAAAGGTTTTCATCTCACTACTGTATTTATTATTTAAAAATAAGGTTACATTATTTCAAAGGGAAAAATAACAAAATTATTAGAAACAAATAATCTACCCCTCCTTAAGCTGAATTTAATTTATTTACGATACTTATACATTTAGTACATACAAATAAGAAGAACCTTAACATTTAGCAAGAAGAATGTAGGTAGCAAACATCAAATATGAGACTGGAAAATAAATAAAAGAAATGCAATTGAAAAACAATTATGTAGATAATTTTGTGTTCAGGAAATTTAATACAAATATTTGCTGCTTTAAGAGGTGAAATAACATAAAATTTATAATATTTTAGAGTTAGTTTTTAATTTTAAAGAGGACAGCCATATATCACTAATCAAAAGGTCAGAAATTATATCAATACAGCCTTTAAAATTACTTTGGAACATTGTTGACATAGAAACTATTAATATAAATAGGAAGGATTAAGTAACTTAACAAAACTAACTAAGTGAACAACCTCCTGTAAAGCCACTTTGAAAAATTTTAATTATTTACTACCTTCTATCTTTATGAACTCTTCGACTTAAAAGTTTTATCTGATTAGCTTGCCTACATTTAATAAACTGTGTGATAAAAAAATTTCATGAGCGAGTATTTTTCTCCGCATCCTCCGATACATAAAAAAACATGTAAAAAAAATTCTGGAAATCTTGGAACAAAAATAATCTAGTATCTGAACCATATTTACCGTAGCAAGGCATTAAATGCAACTTAGATCTAACACAAACATTGTTTCAAGTGGCAGTTTTAAAGCCCATAATGATATATGTTCTCAATCGCATACAAATTATGGATCTAACTTTCTCTAATATTTATGGGATTAAAACAAACCCCATAAATATCTAAGGGATCAAATCCCTAAGCACTTACCTGTCCTGACTGAAGGCAAAGGATAGTTTACCTTGGGTCTTAAAACATTTGTTATAAATTGAAAGAGTATAAAAAGAAAAGTTATAAGAAAGCATAGTAACTATCACAGTAACATTGTCATTTATTCATTTTATTTGAATAATCAAGACAATAATTGAGAAAGTATTCATATACTATCTCCCAAAAGCAAATTAGTTTAGATACTTCTGTGCAGCCTGAAGTTTCCAAATTTACTTTACATTAAATATTTAATTAAAAAAAATTATTTATATAATACCTTTTTCACCTTCAACTCTTGATCCAGGTATTGCTTGCCTAGGCTCTAACTGATCTATTAATTGATTGACTTGATTTCTTATCTTCTGTAACTCAGTTCGTATATGTTTGACTTCATCTGATTGCATTGGAGCAGGTTGCCCATTAACTGCAATGTAAATAACTCTTATAAAAATATGTGTCTTGATTCAATAAAAAAAAATACTCATGAAAAAAAAAAGAATATTTTGCTGCAGCATAAACAAAGTTGAAAAATTTTCAGACACAAATTAAATCACATACTCTTACAAGCATCCTTACCAAAATCTCAGAAATTAGGTTAATTTTTACAGATTAAGACAGGCTAACTATTAATAAACTTGAAACTCTTACATTAAATTAATTTTTTTCCCTATTTAGAAATTCTTTTTTTAAACTTAATTGGCCCAATAAGTCTGCATGTTGATTAAATATATCAGTAAACCTTATAACTAAAAATATATAAACAAATTTAATTACAAAAAAAAAACTATTTATAAAAATATTTTTGATCATTTTAATTTTTTACCCCAAAGTTTGTAATAAAAATGAATACTTTTGAAGTCCTTTTCAAGAAATTGTAAAAGACATATCAGCACGGTCACACACACAAAATAACTAACAAAAAATGATAGGATGTGTGACAGCTTTAGCCACCTATTTTTAAAAATGAATAACAAATTTTAATCATTTCACAGAAACTGATAAAATTCTGGAATACCAGGCAGTAAGTATCTCTGAAAACTGGAATAAAATAAATATTCAATTGAATGAAACAATTTCAGCAACTTGTCTTTTAAGGAAAGCATTCGTACAGTAATAATTTTAATTTATGGTGCTTCATTCAGAATTTTTTATTTTTTTTTAACAAAATGCAACTAAACAAGAAAATGTAAAGGTGTAAAAAATCAAACTTTTTTATAGAAGCACAAAACTAGTGTGATTCGAATCTTTTTAGGTTTTGAGTTTAATAAAGTATTTAATCACTAATTGAACTTTTCACATACCGGATATTCCGGCGTATAATGCGCACCCGTAATTTCCAATAACTTTTTTTAAATTTTAAGATATACTCTTCGTATAACGCGCACGAAAATTTGGATTGTACATGTGCAATATCTCGTCTAGTATCTATAGAAAACCAGAAAGCCTTTTAGTGTGGGACATGTTTTGGTCCCACCTTACAGATAATACAAAACTTTTTTTGACAGTATGTAACACCGATATGGCAGTTATTCCGGGCGGATTGACACCATTAGTTCAGCCATTGGACCTCTGCTTAAGCTAACCATTTAAAGCCAATTTTAAAAAAAACAGTGGAACACTTGGATGTTGGAGGGCGAGAAAACCTTTACGAAAGGAGGACATATGCGCCATGCAAGTTTGAAAACAGTGGATATTAAAAGTATGGGATTAAATTAAGCCTGAGATGGTTAGAAAATCATTCAAAAAATGCAACATTTGAAATAATCTGGATGGATCAGAAGATGACTGTTTATTTATGGATGAGGGTAACACAGATGATGAAGACGAAACAGATTGTGATGACGTGCCTGAAGAAATAACGGAAGATGAACATAATGAACTATTTACGTAATAACGAAAATCAATAAAGTATATAGGTAAAGGTACGTCATTTCTTTAAAATAAAAGTATTTTTCTATATTTAAATTTTTTTAATCTATAATTTTTTATATTCGGCGTATACCGCGCACCCGAAAATTCCAATGTTACTTTTTGTATTAAAAGTGCGCGTTATACGCCAGAATATACGGTACATATAATGGCAGTGTTAGTGCACACAACTGGTAAAACTTATATGAAAACATCCACATTTTTATGCTGATAAATCATAATTTTTAAATTTAAGACTGATTGTTAATACAGTGAAACAGGCTTATTTAATGAAGCTCTGATTTAATGAGAACACAGAATAATCAAACAAATCGAAAATACTCGGTTTGTACAATGTTTAATCGATTTAAACAGATTTTTTTTACAAAAGAGAATCCAAGTTTTAGTGAGCTAAATTTTTTTTGATTTATCAACTAAAATTTCAAGGCACTTCCACCTCTCCAAAAAAATTCTATTTATAATTTAATTAATATATATGAACTTTTGTGATTTTTTCAGAAACCAGCACTTTATTTTAGCACTTGGTTATAACAAGGAACTATTGCATTCCTTACATGCCTGTTATAAGCAAGTTCAACTGTACAGTAAATGTTTAATTTCTAATGTAAAGGTCTTAACTTACATACCAAATATAGTCAATTTTAATATCCTACTGCACTGAATAGCAAAGGATAAATCTGAACTATCAAATATCGAGATTAAGTCCCCATCTGAAAAATTAAAAATACAGTGATTAATACTTAATTTATAAATTTTTTTTTAGCATGTTTAAAATATCTAGAGAAAAATTACAAAATAAATTAAAATTATAATTCTACCAAGAAATATATTGAAAACATTCAATAACAGAATTTAAGGATTTAAAAGAAAATAATACAGAGTTATGCAACATATTTGTTTTGTCAAAACAATTTCATTAAAATAAGAGAATTAAGAAGAAAAAAAAGTCAGAAATAGATAAGTAACCAATCACACTATATCCTGCATTTAGTTTCAAGTACAGATTATCAATATTACAGATATATTAAGTACAGATTTTCAATATAAACACAGAACGTATCCTAATAATGTATTTAAATAAAGCAGAATAACACTTCAATGAGAAATAAATCAAGGATATACTAAAATTATCACCATAATGCAGATTTAGTATTACTGTGATAGAGAGAGTATAGAAACAAGACTTTTTAGTTCGAAACTTCATAAAATAAACATATACTGATCCCAAATGCTATCACTCATTCCATAACATAATTTGGCATAAACTAGATACATTTAAGTACTAAGAACAAAATTATTAGTTACATCCATACAAACTGTCAAAATACAAATTACTAATTAATTTAAATAAAATTCACAATAAAAAGTAGAGATGTGTTACAGTACATTAAATAAATAAATATTAGCAATCTTTATCAAGATAAAAACATTTAATAATCAATGGCATAGTTTGTTCAACTGTAAGAGCCAGTGGAACAAGTTACAAACTGTCAAAACTGTTGCTGTAGATATTTTCTCATTTCTACTTGTGTTAACGTAAACAAATGCTTTAAAGTTAAATATTTCAATACCAAACTTTTATGTGCAATGAAAATTACATTATGTTCTACCAATTTATATTTACTGAATAAATATTCATGTTGTTCTTCTGAAATAAATATTTATATAAAATACATGAATGAAAATTGAGAATTCGTTTTGTTAAATTCATGTAGATCATTGCAGTAGAAAAAGTCCAAAAAATTCTGAATGCTATTAATCAATTATTATTTAAGGTTTTAATATCAAATATCACAGTTTTCTTTAGGAATAAAAAAGGGCAAGATGCTTCCTTTCTGATAAATAGACACTCGCTTAACATCATAAAAATTTATGAAAATGTAAAATATTACATAATAATTGAATTTTATGTGTATATTTCAAAAGGATTCAAAGGAAGAGTATATTCAGTCTCATTATCAAAATGCGAGAAAAATTCAAAAACAACTAACGGCTTGCTAAAAGGCAATCTCTGCATATTTTGTCCAAAAAAAAGTAAACTAACACAAAATGAGTGATTGATAAAAAACTCAAAAAGCTTTTTTCCCTAATTTAAATTGAAAATTATATAATAAAAACTTATAATACATTTTTTTTAAAAAGAAAGAAAGTTAGTTATAAAAATTTTAACAGTTTAGAATAATCCTAACAAAGTAAATATTTGTAACAGTAATCAAAATTAAACCTATAAACATATACACAACCTCCTATTAAATCTGTTACAGATAATTATACCAGTGTGCAATTATTTAAATAGCCAATTAATTTATTGAAAGTGGAATATCAATAAAAAGGGTGTTAGCTTTTTTTTTATTACAAAAATGGTAAATTTATTGGGATCAAAGGGTGGGATGCCCTTAAAAACTCTTAGGAAGAAAACTGAAATACTATAGTTTTCTGATTCCACTACAGAAAATCAGTTGATATTTCCGTATTATGATCTGTCACGCCAACCACAATCGCTAAGGTACCAAATGAAACTTGCAATTTAAAAAAACAAACAAACATGTAGATGTTTGCCTGGGGGTGGCTACGAGTTATACGTTTCGAGTTGGTCCCTTTCTATGACGTTTCTCTTAGCTTTCTACGGGCCACTGCCTGGAAGTTACCAAGACTTAGCCATTATTCTGCCACAGATCATAATGCGAAAGTCTCCCCTGGAGAAGAATAGATACAAAGAAATAACTCACCTTCATCTCTGTATTTAATAAGAACTTCATCGTTTGCGTCTAATTTTCCACGAAACACTCTTTGCATCATCAAAACCAATTCATCATATGTGATATCTTCATTGTGGATGGGAATACGCCTGATATCATCACCTAATTGAGCTTTGATTATTAATTTTCCACTTAAATCTAGTTGAGTATAACCACCCTCTTCAGCACCTCCTCCCCCATACGAATTCACAGCCATAATGCACCCTTGCTTCTTTCAAATTCTATTTCTAGATAATAAAAAACAAAATTTATATTAAATAATGTATGAAAAATATTACGATGATTTTAAAAACTGTGACAGCTTGAGTGATTATTCAAAAATAAAACATAAACTGCCATAAATATTCAGCATTAAAACTATACAATAATATAAATGTTAATACATAATTGCACCTCGTATCGCAACATTCATTGCTCATATTAACTTATCTATATACTAAAAAAATATTTACTATATTATTTATTTATGTGACACGACAATGAACTTCAAATATTTAACAAGATAGACGTATGTTTTTGAATTGCTAATTAAATAATGGTGAAATTTCATTAAATGGTTACGGAGTTATGATTCAATATATTTAGTTAAGCCTAAAATAAGAGTGATTAATTAACTGCCAATTAGTGATGAAGAGAATATGATTAAATAACATAAGTGGAACAGGATGAGTAGATAAAAAAAAGAATTATTATTTGCACAGCGTTACTTACAAATCCCATTTAGAATATTGACAGCTGACAACTAAAAAGAAAGTAAAATTCAGACGTATCAGAGTTCAGACCACGCCACAACAACGCAGTTGCAGTTGCATTGAGAAAGTCATAATCACATGTCAAAACATTTTTAATTAAAATTAAATATGTCTTTAATTATAAATATGCACCGGAATATACTTTAAAGCATGCTAAAATTTTAAATAATCTACAAAGCATGTATCTGAATGAAATTACTATTTTAATATATTAAATTATCTCATAAATTAGTTAGCTATAACTGTCAATTTTACCAAAATCAAAATAAACAGTTATGGTTCTATGACAGTTTTAATCCGTCATAATATGGAAGTTTTATAACATTTCGATTGATACATGAGTTCTTACTTTTATATTAGCTAACTTAGTAAAAAATTGTTTGTTAAAATTGCTCATTTTAATTCAGCAATTTCGTAGATAATATTGTTGCTACAAATCAATTTTCATGGCCCAAAGTTCAACATTCCCAAGCCATGTTGCTGAAAATACATTTAAATTTCCCCCTTGGACAGTCATAGTAAGAAAAAGTCATATTTTGCAGTCCAGATGTACGAATGTCCCAAATTGTCATATGCAGCTTAACGATACTTTTTCAAAAAGCAATTTATGTGACTTTTGTCTGTGAGTATTTCCAATGAAGCTGTTCCTAGCATTTTTGAATTGGTATTAAAAAAATGTATGGCTCTAGTGTAGAATCGGAGACCCTTTGGCGTAACCACCACTAAGATTAATAAATTCCAATTCCTGTGTATATAAGACATGTTAACTTGATTCTATTTAGAGAAAGCTTTTGATAGATGAAGGTTGACATCGTCGATAATTCTATCCCCACATTGTTGACCCGGACGAGACGTGATGTGAACTGGCCAGCGTAGATGGATTCTTCACATTTGATAGTTGATTAGCTCATGTAGCTCTCAGAAATCCAGTGAAGTAAAAAAAATTCTCCTGGTAAATAAATAAATAAAGAAAAGATAATGAGCAAAAAAATATATAAATAAATAGCATTAATCAACTATTGGTATTCGTCCATCGAATTCTATCACAGATAATATTCTAGAAGGGGAGTAACTGCCACTACAAATATTAAATACCAATTAACTAGTATTAATATTTATAGTACCTACATGTAGCAAAATCCTGGGTACCAGCTATTGCGAATTATAAATTATGCATCCTTTACTGATTGTTTGACTGAAAATTTTTTTTACAAAAATCATTTATAATTCATTATTTTTACTATATGAATAAGTTTAAAATTATTAACGAAAATTAATCAAAACTTAGATATATTATTGGTACAGGGTTAAGAGAAGAAAAAAATCATAAGCTGTCCATTCGAAATATTTAAGATAAATAAAAAAAACTGACTAACAGCTATAAAAAAGTTGTGAAGTTGGAAAAAACTAGAAATATTAAAAAAGACCTTTTAATTCTTGAGACAAAACTTTACTATTTAAAATAATATTTTCTGTAAAAAAATATATAAATGTCAAATGTTAAAAGAAATATAGTTTATCAGAACCACTTTTAAAAGTACCGATCAATCATAAAAATGCCCATATAAACAAAATATTTTCGCAAAAGTGAACCAAAAAAATTTAAAATCAATCTTGATTTTTGAATGAAAAATATAAAGCTAAACATCACACCTTTCCAATTACAGTATTTTTGGTAAAAAGTAAAAAAAAAAAAANAAAAAAAAAAAAAAAAAAAAAAAAAAAAAAAAAAAAAAAAAAAAAAAAAAGTCTAATTGAAACCCTATTAATTGCCTCATCATAAACAAGAGTTTTTTAAAAAAGTCAATAAAGCAAAGATCGTTAATAATTTTTAAATGAAAAATAAATGCTGAAAATGTCACTTTAACTTTTTTATATAGCCGTATTTTCAGAAAAAAGTGACGATAAAAGAATAATGTTCATTAAAAACGCCCTTTAAAAAATGCTTTGTCATAATAAGCAGTCTGAAAAAAAACATTAATTAATAAAAAGAGCAAAAGTGAAAGAGAAATTTTTTTTTTCTGAGTTTTCTATGTTAGCAGTTATCTGTCTTACGGTACACAAAAGTGTGACAATAAAAAGCAAACAAATGACATTAACAAAGTATTTTTATCAGAAACACTCCATTAAAATGCCATGTTATGATTAAAATAAAAAATAACAGCAAAAACAAAACAATGCTATAATTCTCAACAAAAAAAAACTGTGAAAAAAATTACGAAATTAACTTGACTGAATATAATTTTAGAAAAATCAACAGTACAAAACTCGCCTAAAGTAATCTAGTTTTAAATCTTCAAATTTAGCTTTTCCATTTATCTTCCAAAACAAAAATTTGCTAGCCGTGTGCAAGTTTTAGAATTTAACGAATATGTGTAAAAACTGTTTCTGATAAAGTACAGTAAAAAGCACGATTTTAGATTTTTCTTCATTAAATTTATTCAAATTCTGAAGGAAAAAAAAAAAACTTTGTCTGAAAATACTTTTTCAAAATAATACTTTGCTAAATATTCGTCCTAACATTCAGCCAACCAAATGTTCAGCAAGAAGGCCGAATATTTGTTACATCCCTAGTTGTATGATATAGAAATTAGAAATCATTTTAAACTTTATTTATGTACTTCATTTCTTTTAAGATATGAAAAGGAATTAGATCTTCCACAACTGCCTGAAATGACTTTCGCCGGCAATCTATTGCATGTAGAACATTCAAAAGAGTTGGGTATTGAATTTAATGCTTTAAGTGCATTACAGTTAGTTGACAGTAAATTTGACAGTATGAAAGTTGCTGTAGCTGAAGCTTGGCAAGAGTCAAGGTAAGTGTGTGTTGCATCAATGTTTAAAATTGTATTTAAGTTAGTAAAATTTAAACATTTGTGAAAATCTTTACATTATTTATATTCAACTTAATTAATTAAATTTTAATGTGCAGCACGCAAAAAAAAAAACTGTCCATGTCCACCCTGATCTAATGATTGGATCTTTATGTTCTAGGACTCGATCGTAATTGTTCGAAGGTTGACCTCTAATGTGATTATTAATTAGTGCAGACAATATTTTAGGTTAGGAAATCAAACACGAAAAAACTTTCTCTGAATAAACATGTCTTTTATTTGCAATGGATTCAAATTTCTGACCCCCAAAATATAGGGAGTAGCCACAATCTTTCAAATATGGTTCCATTAGTTTGACCAGGAGAGCGATCCAAAGTTCGGACCCCTTAATGTTCATTTTACTTTTTGTGTTTTTCCTCATATTTCGAGTACTTTTTGAATGAATTAAAAAAATTTACACACAATGATAAAATTCATTTATCCAGTATTTATTATTTTATTTATTAACAGTTGAAAAAATTTGAATTGTAAGGTACACAAATTTTTACATAATTTTAGAAAATGTAATTTCTCAGAGCAAAATCTGTGTGAAATCGGAATAATATTGCCTCAGAAATTGAATTTTAAATATACAACTTCTTTAAAATGTGATTTCCCAAGCATTATATGACCGATTTGGCTCAGATTTTGTATTTTGCCTTTAAAATTACAATCTTTAAATAATAATTATTTCATAAAAGTTATTTTTTGCATTGAATTATCTTTGAATTAACAAATTTCGAGTTAATAATTGTCTGCAAATTTTTTTCAATTAGCTTAAATAGTTCTCAAGATATGGTGAAATACACACAAAAAAGAAAAAATTAACATGAAGGGGTTCAAACTTTGGACCACTCTGACCAATATGTGGGGACCATATTTCATAGATTGCAGTCAGGGCCGGATTAACCTATAGGCACACTAGGCACGTGCCTAGGGCCTACGAAAAACTTGGGAGAAAAAAAGTTTTTTGACAAAAATAATTTAGCTTTAAAAACAACAAGTGTATTTTGCGCAAAATTATGAAGATACAAATAAAAATATAATATTTTTCAGTAATAAATTATTTTGCAGAATCTTATGATCTAATATATTACTTTTTTGCGATTTTTGGATTCAACGAAATCTTGTATTATGCTGTCGAATTCCAAACTACGCAAAATGTCGTATTCAATAGACATAAGTGCGAGCGATGCCAAACGATCTTGATTCATTGTTGAACGCAAATAATTTTTT